CCCCCCTCCCCATCTCTTGAACCAAAATACCCAATCTGAAAAACCAAAAATCCCCTTCAATCAAAAATCCCTAATTCTTACGGCTCCACCGAATTCGAGAAGATCTGACTAAGATGGTATCCAGGCTCCAATCTGTGGAGATCGAAGCCATGGTCGTTTGCCATTCATTTTCCACGATTGTACTAACGGTTGTAGCCACGACTACTGCCGACGAGTGAGGAAGAGAAGAGATGAGAGGCGAGCGTTTAGAGATGGAGGTGCAAGAACAAAGTGAAGAAAAGGTGATCGAAGCCATGGCCGTTTTTGATCTGTTTGTCCATTGATATCTATTTGAATCTCTTTGAATCTATATATATATATATATATATATATCTTGGTTTTTGCTCTGTTTGTTCATTGATTTTGGACCAACTATACCGATAGGTCCATTGAGTTCTAAGCAAGGGACTGAATGTTCGACGACAGTTTGAATTAGGCATCTAATGGGTATTTTTTTTTGGCTTGCTTGCAGGTTTGATTTCTAAGGTTGGCTTTTTTAATTTTCTTCTATTTTTTTTCAACCACTCATCTGACTTAATTGTTGCTCTACAATTGCTTTCTTGGCAAAGGAATCTTTAATTTACATGTCAATACCGCTCTTACCTTTGTGGTTAAATTTTCTGCAACAATTACACACTTAGTTAAAGCTCCCTTTTCCTACACCTATATCCCTAACCGGAGATATCTAGTACGGATTCTATCTCATTGCTTTTGATTTTACAGTGTCGACTTTATCCCTTCTGTATAAGTTAGCGAAAAAGAAGAACCTTAATCTCCTTATGTTTTCTGCTTCAAATCATTTCCGTTCCAAAATAAGTGAGTAAAGATGATATGATCCTCCTCCATCAAGGAAAGTTTGTAAAATTTGTTAGTTTGTATAGGCATTACTCTTCAAGTATATTTTTAGTGCTTTCCTATGACTAGGACCTAATTATGTTTACAAGGGATAATTGACTCTTTTAAAACTAACATATTTTTGTTTGTGTTCTTTTGCTTTCCCCCTGACCTTTATAAGAATGGCCCTACTCGATTCATCTTCTAGGCCACATTGATTTTGTATGGGTCTTGGGTCTAGGAGTAGGAGAAGTGCAGTGAAAGATACTTTGATCAAGAATAATCCAGATATTGTAATCTTTCTAGAAAGTAAAATTGAAATTTTTTTAGGAGCATTTGGGGGACTTGGAATAGGAGTTAGGAGGCCTTATCTTTCAGTAGTAGATCCTTCGGGGATTTTGGTCGGTAAGCTACAAGTAGTATTTAGGGTGTTTTTTGTCTATAAGGTTTAGAGATTTTGATGACAACGATGAGTGGCTTAGCTTATGGGGGTTTATGGTCCTAAGTCTTAGGTTTAGATGGTCGTTTGTTGGAGTTAATTGGTTTGTTTGGGTTGTGTTCGCCAAATTGTTGTGGGAGGTGATTTTAACGTTAATGGATTTGCTTCAAAAAAGTTGAATGGGAATGGAGTCTCAAGGCGTATGGGAGATTTTGATGCTTTTATTACGAATTGTGAGTTGGTTGATCCACATTTGTAGTAGGCAAGGCTTTTTTCTTATAATTGCATAACAATATTTCTCTTATATGTTATTTATTTATTTATTTTTATTTGACTATTTTATTGGTGAAGTAAAATAGATGGCTGTTTTTTTTTTATTGGTGAATATTATAAATTTTATATGTTTATTTCTTAATTTGTATTAAGGTTAGGCGGGGTTGTTATTTTTAATTGAGAGTTCTGTGTAGATATTCTCATTATAAACATACATTTTGTTTGGTGATACACACTATAAATATTTGTAAACCTTTCATAATTACAATATTAGGTAATTATGGATGAAAAATAATTTAATCATTTGAGTTTAAAATGAATGAAATTTAATAATTTAATCAATTGAGTTTAATAACAATATTAGATGATTACGGATGGAACATAATTTAATCAATTGAGATTAAGGTACATAATATTTTAGATGGACTTACGATAATTCCCACCACTTATATAATTAAAAAGGACCACATAATTAAATAAGACTTACCTGCATAAATCTAAATTATAACGTTATAAGTTTTAGTATCCAAAATTTAACATAAAAAATTTGCTATAAATTAAACTGAACCATTCGTAAGAATTCTTTATTATGTTTTATTTTATTTTATTTTATTTTTTTGGCCTTTATAGATTTGGCCTCTTCTTCTTGGGGTAGAAAAGCGTGTTTTGAGGGGGAGAGAGAGAGAGAGAGAGAGTGAATATGTGTTTTAAAATTTGAAATTTGAAAAAGTGAGGTGAGCGATAAAGGATGGATGGGTGGGTGGGGGTGAAGAGTTTTTTATTTTTATTTTTTTTGGCCTGTTATGGCTTTTGGGCACAAACTGTCTTTTGTTGTCTATCACTGCCACCGCCACCGCCACCACCACCGTCGCCTCACTTTCTTGGGAACAAATTATGTTTTTGTTT